CAAATGTCACACTGTATTACAGTAAGGACATGATAATACATGGGTCTTCAAACTGTTCTCAATCCATGAGGAATATTAATCCAACAAGAAACCCCGACTTCAAACATTTGTGTCAAATGCAACATCTAACATAACCTAAAATTAATTATCGAAATTAAATGTCAATTACAAGGTTCAAATTGTGTATTATCATACTTGTTTGATTAAATTCCCTCTGTTTATTATCTACACTGAAATAACAAGCTGTCTGGTTATGATGACACAAACCAGTTCAATGAAGAATAAATATAAATAATTCCTGTAGTTTTAGGGACATGACCCACCCCACCCCACCCCATCCATCCAATCCACACCCAAAACTTTTGAAACCCTCAAAGTAATTCTTTTGTCAAGCTAACCCTACTCTCTTACAAAGAAAATTAAGGGGAACAACACGACCAGAAAATTATATGATTAAAATCTGCAGATTTCAATATAGAATATAAAGTACACGTTTGGGAATAAAATACGGCCTAAACTAGATAAGCAGCAATACCTATATACTTCAATTTCAAAATTTTCAGTTGGACTCCATGCTCTAGTCAATACTGGCTGCCTTTGTGTCTTTTCTTATCCCATACAGACAAATGACCCTTAAGGGGTCGTTGTTGACACAGGTACTACAGATATGTAGGCTAACCCAGCCATGTTACTGTATACAGGTTCATTAAGAAGATAATTTAGCAGACAAATCAAGTAGGTTAAATTGAGAGACAGTGAGAGTTGAGAGATTTATGGAGATGACCGTTAATAGAGTCATATAAGAATATTACAGCTGTATCTTTTCATGATTATAGGATCATGTTATTGGCTAAAATATTGATTTTGGAGGATGAAAAACTAAAAGACTTTAACCCACACCCATCCCAAAACACAAAGAATTAAGATTGTTATCCAACATCAATCTGCTTTACTCTTGGCTATGAGAACAAAACGTTATTAAAAGTAACAATATTTATTGAAGTTTATACATTTGTGTCACTGGCTATGATTCACATTGTCACATATGCCACACTGTTGTCTTAATGGAGTAAATTGTTTCAAACTATGTTGTGTAGTATCCAACAATATCATATGGTTTAATTTGATTATTGCTTTATACCTCACTCAACAATTGTCCAGTTATGTGATGTGGGGTGCATGGTTCTGCGAAAAGTCACAAACTTTGAAGCGTGAAGCTGCTCGTGAACAGGGGCATCAGATTGGTTCAGAGCGCTTCATTCAAAATGGCATTGATTAGATACTAGCCGCACTTTTGATACACGAATCAGATCGGAACTGTAATGCACTATATCTAGGCCGTAGTTAACTTTTTTGACAGGGGGGGGCAAATATTTTTACAAGTATCACTTGTCCCCAACTTATATATTCATAATTGAAATAAAACTGTTTTTTATATAAAAAAAATACGCACGCACGCACGCACCCACCCACCCACACCCACACCCACGCACGCACGCACGCACGCACGCACCCACCCACCCACCCACACACACACACACCCCTTCTGTGGTGACTAAACATAATATCATCACAATACATCTTCTGCATTCACTTCACATGAACAATTTAGCATTTACACCCAAAGCCAAACCAAAAAACACCTCGCTTTACAAAATTAATTCAGGACGAAAACATGCCCTTCATTCTGTTAACCATAAAATTATTTGTCCCCTCATATAATCACATCAAGATGACATTTCATCAATTATTCACTTCAACAGAAACAACATCTAAAGTAATAAAACTGACAAATTGTGATTAAACCCAAACTTCTTTTCAAGCATCCTATTTCATTCATAATTGACCCACTGGCGACTCCCTCCTCATCCAATTTTCCCACTGGAAATAATTTCCTTTTGGAATGTCCGCCCTATTTCCATCCAGGTTCATAACTGTTCACTATTGACACACATCCGCCCGATTTCAAAACTGCAGTAATTGTATTTACTCTTCCTATTGGCGATGTCAGATGTCGCGAACAATAATCATCCTATCAGAGATTTACAATGCTATTAAACCATGACATAACATGTCCATTTAAAAGCTAAAATAATACTATGAAAGTGCAGAAGTCGTACATCACAGAAACATGGCAAGCCATGTCCAGATGATGGGTTAACTAAGGGGGCCTATGTTCCATAACATAGTTCCCGTTTCTGTCTATTTCTAGGTGTTATTTTTGGTGGCTTATGTGAAATGGCTGTAATAAGTATATTCATTAACCTGTAAATGATGGATTGTTATACATCCTTGGTTTATCTAGGGCTTCAACTAATTGCCTTTGGAAGGCAAATTTGGAAAAAAACAATTGGGATTATTCATAAATATTTATTTTCAGAGGCTTCTGCAAATGATAATGCCCTGAAAAATAGCGTTATCCTTATAATATTACATAATATAGGACATTTTTAATTCCTATTTGGAACTTTTTACAGAAAATTGGGGAGCTAATTTAATCTCAATACAAACATGGCTTTCAGATGCATACCTCACTGCAGGATATGACAACTCCCTTCACAGGAGGTCACGAAAGGTCAACTCTGGACAAACTTTAACTACCTAATCTGAATGAATGACATATACACATAGAAATTCATAAAATATCCACAACAATATAAGGGCACTGCCCTAATTATTTACATTCCGAAAGTAACCATTTTAAGTTCATTTTCGAGATAAAGAAGTCAGATAGATTGGTCAGAATGCATTGCACACTAATATTTTGAACTTAGAAGCCGGATCACTGACTGGTAGCAGAGAGGTATTATATCACAGAAAATGATCTGATTTTATTTAGACTGGATTCAAAATTGCCATAGTGCTCCTTATTTTACTGTAAGGTTACAAAACAATACACGGTATGATAAATGAAAACTCGATATTTGACATCATCAAAGTAATTGAATCCCAACACAAAGCCTATTTGATAATCAGTGAATTGAGGCCTCTTGTGCATACAGGCAGGATAAATAATAATTTAAATAACATGTTACAATATATATTTATATCATGTTCATAAACAAACTTCTGGTTTATCGCATTTAGCTAAATGAATTTTTTTCATTTACTCACCAACTTCTAAAATGCCATCCAAACAGTTAATGTTACTTTACCTCATATATTCTAGTATCTCTTATTATTACCCACATGGTTAAGTTACAGGTGGCGAATTACAATCCTAAATCAAACATACTACTTAACAATTGCTAAGGATCAAACCTTTGACTAAAGATTAATATTTTGGTCCTTAGCAAAATGTTGAGAAGTATATATGTCTGACTTTGAAACTATATTTCAGTTCACATTTGGTATTTGTCGGACTGTAAACCAGGTCAAAGAATTAGTAAGCACAGAAACCACAAAACCAATTATGAACTAAAAGAAAACCATTTTTTCTTTTAAATAATGACAGAGCAACAAGCCCTCATGATCATGATGATGATACTCACATTTTGATTAAAATTAATGATTAAACATAATCAGGCTAATCATACAGTCAAAGTTTGATGTGAAGGGAACAATTGTTTACATCCTTAACACAAAATGGGAAACAATACATTTTAGAGACTTGTCTATTAGAACATTTCCAAATTAGATGCATCAGTGATAAAAATGTTGGATGTAATTCACTATTTTGACTAGTATCACATGTTCCTGTGTTTTTTCAGAACAATTGACTTGACTTTGCATGTGTTTTAACAAACACATGGCATCTTCACTATGTGATAGTGATTCATAAACACATGTTCATGATAAAGCTGCAATCATACAATGGACTCAGCTTTTAGCATGTTTAGCAGAGATTTCTTATGATTATGGAAATGTTACTGTTGTATTTATGTATGCATCTCCCCAATTCCCAAACACTCATATTAACAGATGTCCGAAGTCACTCAACAGTGTTTATCATGTGGTATACCAACAGCTGCCATGTTTCATATCAACAGTCATACACTGCAGTATCTGAGTCACCCAGGCCTGATCGACTCCGGCAACTTCTTGCTACCTGGCATGTCATGATTCTAGCACTGAAGTGATGTTACTTCAATGAGTGTAACATGCATGCTTTTTAGCTCTTTATTATCATTAAAAGACATCCAAATCATTCAACTTTTGAAATGCATAAAGTTGTTTAATTAGTCAAATTTGTGTGTGGCAGTAAAAGTCTGATATTTCCTCACACACCCCTCACACTCAAAATCAGGAGTATCTTGTTCATATTATTTAATAATTCTATTTTTCAAACTGGTCAAATATCAGTTATAAAAGAAGTAACAGCTGAAGGTTATTGAACAGATTAAAAGGTTTTAAAAAATTAAGGAAATAATGTTCATTTTAATAATACAAAGTGGAGATGCAGCCTTACATGACGTCCTATTGAAGGGGATATAGTGCCTGTGATTTAACGCACTTTCACCTTCACTGAAGCATGTAAAGCTATTTGCACCAGCTGAAACAGCTGCATGCAATACAATGGGAAAATATATCTTTAATGTGAAGCAAGTGTTAGGCAGCGGTATCAACAAATTGGATATTTCATATATACAAGACAACACTCTCTGGATACGACTTGAGTGATTTGTGCTCTAAATTCTGAATTTACTAGTGACACCGGCGCCAAGTTTAAAGAACTGTGTCATATGTAGGGAAAGAACCAACGCCGCTAGTTCTGTACAGAGGCATGGGGAATAGTATTTATGTCTTCACATCCGCACAGTGCTTAGAAGCCATATGCCCTTGAAGATGTGACTGGCACTATTGGCTGACGGCATGTGAGAGTTCGGTAACAGGGGGTATACCTATCTCATATAACGGTACAGGCATTGGTTGGTGGTAACCTTAGCGTTCACGAAACGCCATCAAACTAGCATGCCGGTCGATTTTGTCGGCATGGTCGATAAGTGTTGGAATAAACATGCACTAGCACACATTCATTAATAATTACAATCAAGACTCACCGTTCTGAGAAAAGACACATCATCTTGTTCCGACCCCCCACCTTCGGCCGGGTCCGCCATCTTTGCTGGCTATCAGGAACCTTCGATGGTGTATTCCTAGTACCAACGATTGGTGGCAGTCCGTAGACACTTCACGGCACTAACCAACAGGGATCGATGTGTGGTAATCAAAGCTTATACCTCGTACATTCCGGAATTATAAGTTACATCGTTGTCGAAACATCTCCGTGCTAAACTGGCGACGGTCACTGCCAGAACAGCAGGCAACAGACAGAGCAGCCTTGTAGCGCGTGCGCTTCGCGAGAGAGCGAGCCAACGTTGTAATCGATATGGCTCGCTCCTAGCATCAAACAAGCTAAGGTAGCGAGTGGCAGCATTTAGCTGCAGCAGTCCACATTCCGAGACAGTTGTAACACACCTTGAAAAAAGATATACAAGAGTTGCGCAGCTGATATTTATTATGAAGACAGATCGATAAGCTAGTCTTCGAAGGATGACCGCCTCCACTCTTGGCTAGGAATATGCTTTTAACGATACTTCTTAGGTACTTAAACCCAGTTAAAGATTCCCGTGTTAGTTCTAGTAATCAAAGTTTCATGATGTTGCTGTCATGGATGGTTCAAGTTGAAGGAAGACACATAAAAAGGGTTTTTTTTCCATTTGGCTGTATGCAGCACGGTGTTCACAGCTGATGGTGTCGCTCGTTCTGCGACAGCTGTGAAAATGCGCTGTTAAACGATCCATCACTAGTTGAACTCGGATACTATCATATTCTACACTGTTAAAGTGCTATTGCACGCCAGGCAGGTGTATTCTTCCCTGGCTGTTTCATTGGTTTAATTGATGCGAAGGGAAAAATCGATAATACTTAAAAGTCGTGCATATTTTTATACACTGGCTTGTTTTGAAGTACGAGGCGGTACACGTGTTCTCGATTGTTATGCAATGTTGTGTATTATATCACTCAGTAAGACATGGGACCCGTAAAGATCCGGAGTACAATAGCTCTTCAGCAACCCACGCTTGCAGTAAAAGGTGACTAATGGGATCATGTGGTCAGGCTCGCTGACTAGGTTGATGTACGTAATCGTATCCCAATTGCGTAGAATGATGCTCATGATGTCAATCACTGGATTTTCTGGTCCAAACCATGCTTGCCGAAGAAGAAGGCGACTATATATATATATATATATATATATGCTTGTCGTAAAAGGTGACTAACGGGATTGGGTGGGCAGGCTTGCTGACTTGGTTGATGCATGTCATCATATCCCAATTGCGTGGATCAATGCTCATTATGTCAATCACTGGATTGTCTGGTCCAGACTCGGTTATTTACAGACCGCCGTCATATAGCTGGAATATCACTGAGTGATAAACAACAAACAAACAAACTGTAAAACGTGTATGTTTGTTTATTTCTAAAGAGAACACACACACAGTATATTGTACAGATTAGGATGACAACAAAATGACACGTCAACAATCCTTTTTTGCACATTGTGTGAGTGCGGGTGCTACAGATAGAGCAGGTTGTACTTAGCATGCTAACAACACCAACATACATAGGTATAAAACAAACACCAGTCTAACGTTGTTGAACATACATTTACAAACACAACGGCTTCACGATTGTATAGTTTCTCATACTCTGAAAATTTGTTAATTTAGAAACGTAGCTATGAAGGTGGATCATGTATATTTTCACGATGAGATTATCTCATTTCACTTTATATTGTTGCAACCTCGCGTCATAACATGACAAAATAATCATTAATAATTAATTTTAGATATTGCCTTCGCGATTTTTCTTGCATGTTTCTTCCGTACATAAGTATTCCTCCGATATGTTGTCCTCTGAGATTTGTCATCCATGTTTCTTCTGTACATAAGTATTCCTCCGATATGTAGTCCTCTGAGATTTGTCATGCATGTTTCTTCTGTACATAAGTATTCCTCCGATATGTTGTCCTCTGAGATTTGTCATCCATGTTTCTTCCGTACATAAGTATTCCTCCGATATGTAGTCCCCTGAGATTTGTCATCCATGTTTCTTCCATACATAAGTATTCCTCCGATATGTAGTCCTCTGAGATTTGTCATCCATGTTTCTTCCGTACATAAGTATTCCTCCGATATGTAGTCCTCTGAGATTTGTCATCCATGTTTCTTCCATACATAAGTATTCCTCCGATATGTAGTCCTCTGAGATTTGTCATCCATGTTTCTTCCGTACATAAGTATTCCTCCGATATGTAGTCCTCTGAGATTTGTCACCCATGTTTCTTCTGTACATAAGTATTCCTCCGATATGTTGTCCTCTGAGATTTGTCATCCATGTTTCTTCTGTACATAAGTAACTCTCCGATATATTGTCCTCTGAGATTTGTCATCCATGTTTCTTCTGTACATAAGTATTCCTCCGATATGTTGTCCTCTGAGATTTGTCATGCATGTTTCTTCTGTACATAAGTATTCCTCCGATATGTAGTCCTCTGAGATTTGCCATCCATGTTTCTTCCATACATAAGTATTCCTCCGATATGTTGTCCTCTGAGATTTGTCATCCATGTTTCTTCTGTACATAAGTATTCCTCCGATATGTTGTCCTCTGAGATTTGTCATGCATGTTTCTTCTGCACATAAGTATTCCTCCGATATATTGTCCTCTGAGATTTGTCATCCATGTTTCTTCTGTACATAAGTATTCCTCCGATATGTTGTCCTCTGAGATTTGTCATCCAGATGTGTGTGTGTCAGTGTGTGTGTGTGTGTGTGTGTGTATACTCTTTAAACACCTGGTATCGTCACTATTTGTTAGAGATTCATGCCCATGATAAAGTCGGAATCGTGCAGTCGACTATGCTTTTAGCAAAGTTTTGTCGCTATTTTTTAAATATTTTTTTATATATGTTTTCCTCTTAGGCTTGGAATCTACGTTCTTCTGCATGTATGTATTGTACTAAGAATTGCCATACATGTTTCATCTGTAAATACATATTCCTCTGATATTTGTCATGTATTTTCATTTTCTTTATATGTATTCCTCTTTGATTTGGCAGCTATGTTTTCTCTGTAAATTAATTTTTCCTCTGAAATTTTTTCTCATGTTTCTAGTATAGTCTTCAAAAGAAGAAACGCAATACGGATATTTTTGGCCATAAAAGCAAATTTAGCGGACCAAGAGGTGCAACATGAAGAGGTTAAATGTGTTATACTGTCAGTGACAAATTTCCCGGATCAAAATGATTACAACAAGGACATGCAAACCATTAGACGGGAAACACGTACGATTCGGGAAAAAACGCACCCAGTGCATTAACAAAAGGGCCTAAAGCTGCATGCACTGAAAGTGCAGCAGCACTATGAACGATATTAAAGTGCAGGGTTTTTGATTGCCTGGCATCTGCGTCAATTGAACAGTGACAGTTCAACAACATGCCAAGATTAACAGAAATGCAAAGAAACAGCCGCCTGAAGGCAGGGGAATCCCGATCAGCTGTAGCCAGGGTTTTCAATGTGGCTCCCAGCACCATCACAAAGCTATGGGATCGGTTTCAACAACATTGGTCAACACGTGATCGGCCAAGGTCGGGGCGACCAAGAGAAACCACCCTCGCCCAAGATCACTCCATCCGACTGTGCCACCTACGTGAAAGGGCGACCACAGCCAACTCAACCGCATCCCAAATACCCGGACTGCGCAGAATCTCCGACCAGGCAGTACGAAACCGTTTAAGAGCAGCAGGTCTACGAGCAAGACGTCCTATTCGACGCGTCATATTGACTCGACAACATCGTCAACAACGACTGCATTGGTGTCGTCAACACAGGGTATGGCCTCAACTGCGATGGGGAGACGTCTGGTTCAGCGACGAATCAAGATTTCTCCTCCGTCGAGGGTATGGAAGAACACGGGTCTGCAGACGTCGGAGAGAATGTTACGCCGGAAACTGTGTGCAGGAAGTGGACAGGTTTGGTAGGGGTAGCGTTATGACGTGGGGGCTATCTCTCACCATGGCAGGACAGGTTTGGTCCATATCCATGGCAGTCTTACGGCTGAGATGACTACAGTTACCAATGGTTCTCTCCACAACATTTTTACACAATACCTTGTACGGTTCCTCGTATAAATGAGTTTTCCTACCTCACAAAAATCTGGCTTTGCGTTTCTTTTTTTGATGAGTGTATTTGTCATACATATTCATTATGTTAAACATGTATGGACAATATATTTGCCTTTGCAAGGCTATTTTACAATTAATTTACGATATGAGATCATCGATGTACCTGAAGCTTAAGACAAATTCCCTTGTTTTGCTTTCGCCAATCCGAACAGAAATTCCGACTCGAATTCATAAAGAAACAGAAGAGTGAGTGAGTGAGTGAGTGAGTTGGGTTTAGCGCCGCTTTTAACAGTATTCAAGTTATCGCGGCATGGAAGCTTAATGTGTGAGGAAAGCCCGAAGCGATGCAGGTCTCAGAAGTTTACCACTTCGGTGAAACCCACGAGCACGGGTATGGTGCTGACAAACCTAGAAACATAATCGGGGCGAACCGGGATTCGATCCCACAATCATAGGTTTCTGACGTGCCCAAGGGACGCATCTCTGCACAGCGAATCGCGGCGCCTTAGACGACTGGGCAACCCGTGCCCACGAAACAGAAGGGGACACAATGGGGATGTTTTCTTTGAGGACGTCCAGCATTACAAGAAGCACGGGTTAATCTATCACAGAAGCACAGCACATCTGACATCGTGCAATGTATTCCTCGTTGTCCTTAAATGATTTGGAATAAAATATCATAGTCAGGGATCTAGCGTCAGGTAGATTTGACGATACAGAACACCCAGTATTCGGAACATATTGCACCATATTTCTATGTCGGAAAATGTAACTCTGTTGTCCTTAAACCAACCACATTTACAATAACACATCTTCGTTTTAGCAGAACACATCCGACATTCTGTAGTATCAGTGTTGCTTGGTTAACCCGGTTACTGCTTTAGATGTTGCTTGTAATACCTTGTAAATACTTAATATTTAAGATAAGATAAGATAAGAGTTTATTATTCAAAGGGGAATTTATATTGTACAGTTGATTACCATTAAAATAAGAAAAATGGAAAATATTATACTATAAAATATGATTATAAGAAATTAAGACACTAATATATGTCTACTAATCCCACTACTACTACCACTACCACTACTGCTACTACTACTACTACTACTACTGCTACTACTACTGCTACTACTACTACTGCTACTACTACTACTACTACTACTGCTACTGCTGCTCCTACTACTACTGCTACT